TGTGTGTGTGTGTTTGTATATGTGTGTGTGTATGTGTGTGTGTGTGTGCAGGCAAAGAACTCATCTACTTTATGTATCTTTGTATTTGTGTGCATGTGTCTGTGTGCATGTACAGGCAATTAACTCATCTACGTTATGTTTATCTCTCTGTGTGTCCATGTGTGTGTCTGTTTGTGTGTGTGTGTGTGTGTGTGTGTGCAGGTAAAGAACTCATCTACTTGGACCCCCACACGACCCAGCCCGTAGTAGACCTGGAGGATCGCAGCCAGACAGACTCGTCCTACCACTGCTGCACACCGCCCTCTCGCATGGGCTTCCACAAACTGGACCCTTCCATAGCGCTGGTCAGTCTGTGTGTCTGTTTGTTTGTTTGTGTATTTGTTTGTGTGTGTGTGGGCTTGTGTGTGTCTGTTTGTGTGTGTGTGTGTGCGTGTGCGCGTGTGCATGTGCGCGTGTGCATGTGGGTGTGTGTGTGTGTGTGTGTGTGTGTATGTGTGTGTGTGTGTGTGTGTGTGTGTGTGTGTGTGTGTGTGTGTGTGTGTGTGTGTGTGTGTGTGTGTCAGCCTTCATGCTTAGGATTCCACAAACTTGACCTGTCTATAGCTCTGGTTAGTCTGTCTGTCTGTCTGTGTGTCTGTCTGTGTGTCTGTCTGTCTGTCTGTCTGTTTGTCTGTCTGTCAGTCTGTTTCTGTACTGTATAGTACATTGCTTTTATTATTATTATTTATATTATTATTATTTATATTATTGCTATTATTATTATTATTATTATTATTATTTTCATTAAAAAAAAATTATTATTTTATTATTATTATTATTATTATTATTATTATTATTATTATTATTATCTTATTATTATTATCTTATTATAATTGTTATTGTTATCATCATTATTATAATTATTGTTATAATAATGATTATTATTATTTTTCTTATTATCATCATTATTATGTGTGTGTGTGTCACGGCCAGGGCTTCTACTGTGGCACAGAGAAAGACTTTGAGGACCTGTGCGACAGCTTCAGCACGTACGACCGCGCCTGTCGCTCCATGTTTGAGGTGAGGAAAGACATCCCGCCCGCCTGGAAGCGAGACCAGCCTACCTCATCTGACGGAGCTACGGGAGGGAGGTACAGGAACGTGTCCTTGTCCGGTGAGTTTTGTGTCAGGAAATGTGTCCGAAATATGTGTCATTGTCTGGTGCGTCGTGTCAGAATATGTATTATTGTCTGGTGCATTGTGTCAGAAATGTGTCATTGTTTGGTGCGTCGTGTCAGAATATGTGTTATTGTCTGGTGCATTGTGTCAGAAATAATGTGTCATTGTTTGGTGCGTCGTGTCAGAATATGTATTATTGTATGGTGATTCGTGTCAAGAAATGTGTCATTGTTTGGTGCGTCGTGTCAGAAATGTGTCATTGTTTGGTGATTCGTGTCAAGAAATGTGTCAATGTCTGGTTAGTCGTGTCAGGAACGTGTGTCAATGTCTAGTGTGTTGTGTCAGTGGTTTGCTCCTTCTGTCCTGTCTATCTATCGTCATTATCTCTCCTTTTTTATGTTTGTTACTCTCTGGTAACACCTCTAATCTTGGGCACTTATATGACCTCGTTGTGCTGCAAATACCATAGATCTCGTACTAAAACTAGACAGAAATGTGTCATTGTTTGGTGCGTCGTGTCAGGAATGTGTCATTGTCCGATGTCTTTCACATATAATGTACATAGTGACAAAAGTTTGTGAAAGACACTAGATTTCTCATAATGGTGTTTCGGTGTGCCCAGATTTCACATGATGGTCATGATAGTTTTTCTGTGTCCCCAGATTTCACATGATGGTCATGATAGTTTTTCTGTGTCCCCAGATTTCACGTGATGGTTATGATAGTTTTTCTGTGTCCCCAGATTTCACGTGATGGTTATGATAGTTTTTCTGTGTCCCCAGATTTCACATGATGATTTTTCTGTGTCCCCAGATTTTACGTTGGTACCGAGCAGTCCTGCAGGAGAAGGAAGTAGTGTGGACGACGAAGAGTTTGAGATAATATAGTCTGGTGTCCAGGGAACCGTGGTGCTTTCACTGGGCTCGAACCCAGACCCTTCTGTGTGTGTCGGGTTGGTGTGGTTATGTGTGTGTGTGTGTGTGTGTGTGTGTGTGTGTGTGTGTGTGTGTGTGTGTGTGTGTGTGTGTGTGTGTGTGTTAGACTATGTGTGTGTGTTAGACTATGTGTGTGTGTTTGAGACTATGTGTGTGTATATGTGTAAGTTTGTGTGGGTGTGTATGCGTATTTTTGCGTATCAGTGCTTCCACTCTTCCGTATTTTTACGGAAATCCGTACTTTCTGCCAGTTCCGTACTTGTTCCTCCATCTTTATCAACTCCCTCCGTAAAAAGCTGTGACAGCGTAGGACTACCGAAATTCCGTAGCAAAAGATCCGTACTCGCCTTCGTATCGTCTAGTACTAGTAGAAGTTACAGATATTTACGGTAATTCTCTCGGCAATAAGTTAATGTTATAGAAACCTGCCAGATTGCACATTTCCTGCAATCGGCCATTATTCCGCTATGCCCCTTGCATTCATTGCGGGTTGGTCGGCAGTACATTTTTACCAAGATTGATCAAAATCTGGCAAACTTTTTGTGCCAACTTCCTCCTTTCTATCATTCCCTCATTCCGTCTGTCTATCTTTAGATTGTTGCCGGGGCTGGAAAATCTGCGCGTTGATCGAGTAAATTGACTTGTGATCTCAGACAGAAAATTACTGTCAGAAAGAAACTTTGTTACAAATTTGTCAAGATCTAGAAAAATGATCAATACGAAGATTCTAAGGCACGGGAACACGATAAGGGCCGTGATGAAAGAAATGTATGCTAAAACCAGCCTAAAACTACTCAAGTCAAGAATAATTCGAAGTGGTGTTTTGAGGTTGTGACATGCGACATTAAGACGTGAAATTTAAGGAAAATTAGGGTATACGCTGGGTGACTGTTCCTTATTCCCAGGTTTGCCTTCTATCAATGATGCGATGGCAAATTAAGTAAATTATAGTAGCAATGGAAGGGGAGCCTGCTTCTAAACATTGCCATCAATGGAAAGATATTATGTAGATCTTGGTGAAGAAATCAAACAAGACGAAATGTTGGTGAAAAAATAAATGTTATGGTTTTCAGGCAATCTCGTCAAACAGGCTCCCAAATGCCATTTTCAACCCTCTAAAAGCACTAAATTTCAATTTCTCCGGGGGGCTTCGCCCCTTGAACCCCCACCGGGACTCTCTCCCTGGACCATGTTGGGAGCCTGTGCGACCCTCGTCACAATTTCCTTCAGCCATGGATGAAAGCACGGACGGGGTCATAAACCTGAAATCCAAATTAGTGAAAATGCCACGCCTGAAAATGACGCACGTTGTGAAATATCCCCACATAATAAACACAATACTGAACAAAAAATGTATGCTTACCTTGAAGAACTTTTCATACTGCATTGCTTGGATCTTTGTTGCTATACCAGTCAGTCCCATCTGGTTCTGAAGTTGAGGCTCAGCCAAACAGTAATGTGCTACTCCAGGACATGAAGTTTTTCTTACAGAGTAATGAACACAACACTGCAATAAATACGATTTGAAAAAGAAATTTATTCAGTCCGAGAGTTTGGCCAACAATCTAAATTTAATTATATTAGTCTAGGAACATTGATTTCCGGCTTGGACCTAGTATTTTTCTTAAAAGTTAGCCATCGACTATCGATGAGATTACAAATAGATCTACTAAAATCTACTTGTCCTAAACAAATCTCTCAAAAAAGTTCCAAGGATGTCAAAACCAGCCATAGTTTCGGTGTACAGCTAGACCTGGGCAAAATCATAGTACTGAGATCTTCTTGCCAGATCAATAACATCGCAGTTACCGTGCTGACTGTTTTGACGGGGTTAGACCTATTTCTGAGCTTGTTGCAGGGCTAATTTAGGCCAAAGTGGCAAGGTAGGACAGGCCAGCAACTTGTCTTCTTCACAAAGAGTGAATCTGAGCTGTAAACTATGGACAGGACAACAGGGCAGACGACTGTTTCTGAATTTTGTTGTTGTTGCCGGCAATTTCGTCTCAAACTGGAGGAGTCGGACATTTTTTTTCCAAAAGCCGGAATTCCGGCATATGCCAGAAGACTTTGACCCATGGCTTGAGCTGGTGGAAGCACTGGCGTATGTTTATGCGTGTTGTGTCCTTGTATGTGGCTGCTGCAGTACCATTTTTGTTACTCTCTATGTAGACTCAGAGTATGCTCTGTGGAGCTTGTGTGTGCATGTGTGTGTTTATGTGTGTGTCTGTGAGAGAGAGAGAGAGAGAG